AATATGTAAGAGACTTGTTGTCCCCTGCTAAATAATTTGTTTATTTAAAGAATTAGTAATGTATAGGTTTAGGTGTCATTCCTGGTGCTTTCATGGTTTATTTTAGTCATCCCCATGAGGGAGTAAAATGGTCTTTAACTAAAGTCTGATGTAAGTTCGCCACCTTGTGGTAACAATGGGAATAGATGAGGGTTTAAAAAGAAGAGTAATGAAGCAATATAGCAAAGATGTTTAAACTATTTTCCTGATATAAAAATCTGAAAGAGAAAATTGACTTTTTTTGATTAACATTTTGTATTTTTCATGCAAACTTATGATTTTCCAAATATACTTTTTATACATTTTAAGTTTTTTGTTTTGTTTCATTTGCTTTTGTTTTGGTAACTGTGGTAGTTCAAGAACAGGTAGCATTCTTTTATCATACACCATATGACGGTATCTGTTATGGTTTTTAAAGATCTATCACATTTAATTCTTACAACTTTATGTAATAGTTATAATTCTCCCCATTATATAGATGTAAACAGAAACTGAAAAAGTTAGTGAATTTGCTCAAGATCACATAACTCACTTTGGAAAATCAGACATATTGACTCCACAGCCTCTGTGCAATACTCTCCTTAAACGCTTTACAATTCCATCTTGTAATGTTTTCATCCATGCCGCTGACACTATACTGCATTCTGTGCATAATTAAATCACTCGGGTAAGTAATTGTCTTTATCCCCACTTTACAGATGTGGTAACTGAGCAACTTACAGGTTAATCAGCTCAAAGGCAAAGAGTGTGAAAGAGGCAACCCTGGGAGTCAGAGACCAGGTGGCCAGGCTGCAAGGGACTCTTCTCTAAACCTGCTTTTGCTCAGGGAGGAAGCAATCTGTCCTTAAGGATTATCACTCCTGACAGCCCAAATCACAGCTGGGCCCTCTGTCCTGTTAGCAGGACTCTTCAATCCCAGGCTGATGTGTCTGGAGAAGTTCTAAGTTTTGTTTAATCTACAGTCTGTTGCACAGCCAAAAATGAATGCTCTGCACAAATGCATAGGTATTGGTGTATGTGGGAGGAGGAAACAGTGAAGAAAGATTCATTTTGAAGTGTTGTAGTGTCTCCTTTCTATGTGAATGTTTTACATCAAGAGCAATGATATGCTTATACATATGACATTATTCTGGCTGACTAGAATATTTTACTACTTTAACAGAAATCAGTTTCCATCTTTGGATTGTTAGATCTGAATGATGAAATGATGATGTCAATAAACCCAATAAAGTGAAATCAAATTAGTTGGAAGGTCTCATGTCTAAATACACTTTCAAATAGTTCAGTGACAAAAAGCAATAGCAAATTGTTCCATCTATGTTCATAGTGTTTTAACATCAATATGAAGCTCTATTTGCTATTCTGATAGAAACAAATATAAAGTTGTGTGTCCACTCTTGTGACCCTGGAAATTGTGTGAGGTACTTGGCATTTGGAGTGTTACTTCTTTGGCTGCCGCTTTATTATAAATAAATATTGAGTTTCCTTTAAATCACTAGGGAATAAAGCAGCTGGTTTATGAGAGACAACAGCTTAAATGATGAGTATTGAACCTCGTAAGTAGAATAAGTCTTCTGTAAATTGGTCGAGGAATATGTGCTTTGTCAGAAATAGTAAAAGAAGCAAAGATATGATGCTGAGTTAAATTTCTGAGAATACATGCTGCCTGTAATCACTACATGCTGCATTGGAAGACTATGGCCTTGACTGGAAGACTGTGGCCTTGATCAGAAGACCCTGACCTTCATCAGAAGACCGTGGCCATGATTGGAAGACCGTGGCCTTGACTGGAAGACTGTGGCCTTGATTGGAAGACCATGGCCTTGACTGGAAGACCGTGGCCTTGACTGGAAGACTGTGGCCTTGACTGGAAGACGTTGGCCTTGATTGGAAGACCGTGGCCTTGAAGATTAGTTCTCAACCAATAAACACATTTGTTAGAGTCTTCTGCTCTCTGGAATATACTAAGGTATGCAGCCCAGTCAGAGTTAACCTTTTGCTAAGTAATATTAATCAGTTAAAACATCTATTATTTACTACAAGCCTAGTAAACTTAAGCCATTATGAGAGATTAAACATAAATGTTAATTTAAAAAAAAAAAGCATGGTCACAAGCCTCAAATATATACAAAAAAGATGATAAAATACACTCTTAAAACTTTTAAAAATTACATGTGAAATAGGACTTAAGGAACAGCTAAATTTTCTGATAGATTGGAATAATATTTTAAGACTATAGATCATAGGGTTCTGATGTGATTTGGATGGCAGAGTGGAGAAGGGGTATCTGGGGCAGGTAAATGAAGGGAGTGCTGTGTGGACATGGTGCCGGATGTGTCAGGAGTGTGCTGGGAGCAAGGGGCTACACATGTTGGTGGACCGAGTGCACACAAGTCTTTGAAAGAGCAATGAGAATGTAGGCTTCATTTGGTCTGTTGGTGCTATTGTAGTTCTTAACCAGGAGAGAAATGAGAGTCTTTAATGCATCATTGCATTTACGCATTGCTGAGAGAAATATTCAGCGTCAGTAAGTGCTGGGGTCACAGGCGTGAGCCACCATGCCCAGCCTCTACATTGCTTCTTAACCGTATCAGGATTTGCTTACTTGTTTTTATTTTTCATTGCACAGCAATTCTGTAACTATTAGCAAAAGTAAGGAAGAAAATACATGGAGAAATACCTAGGATAACAAAAAAGAAAAGAAAAGAAAAGAAAAAAATACACCACAAACAAAAGGGAAGCTAACTCCCAATTAACTGGCATATTTGCATAATTATTTAATGCATAAAAGCATGTTAAAATGTGATTTATTGACATTCCTGGATTACCTATTGCATTCTCGGTAAAACCACTAATATTTAATAACTGATCCTGGAACATTGAAAGTTTCACAACTACTAAGCAGCAGAAACAAACACAATCCCGTTTGGATTATTTGGAATTCAAATTTCAGTGCCCTTAACAACATACTAATGCACTTCACTCGATTACCAGAATGCAATGTTATTTTTATTTGTATGTTTAAATTTTTAAACTAACCCATCCTATTTAATAATTATTATAATAATTTTTCCAACTAATAGGTCAGTAAATATGTAATTTTTAAAGGTATTTCTTACTTGATGGGTATTCTTTCAAAATGTATACTACAATTTGTTAGATAATAAGTATTCTACTCATTTTTACAAAAGCAGTTTGCAGCCATTCTAATATAAAATTTTCCAAAATCTCCTTTATACACTGTGTACAAATTTTGGCAACATTGACTATCTAATTAACAGAACTTACCAATTCTGCAGAAGCCATTATAGTCGGCTACAGAAATTCAAATTTAGTTGCTTACTAAAGAGCAGGTCTTTACAATAATACACTGGATTGTTAAATTTTACATTATGAAAGGTTTATACAGAACAGTACTTAACACATCATTAGCAAAATAAAGCGTTAAGCCTGATACTTTATTTGACAAAATGACTACTACCTATTTTCTACTCTAATTTTCGTTTTCCAAAATTACTGTTACATCCTTTTTACTCTTTAACCGGGAACATGAAGTCAAAATGAACAGAGAGGTAACTGTTTTGGGTTGTGGGAGGAGGTAGGGGATGAAGAACCAGGAAGTATCCCATTGCTTGAATTAGCTATTTCTTTGCCTTGCTTTTGGTTTTCAGAATTTGAGTGGTTTTGTTTTGTTTTGTTTTGTTTTTTAAGGATTTCTGGGAGTATTAAAATATAGTAAGTTGCCTTATGTATATTAAATTTCAAAATATTGTTTTGACAGTTGTGATTAGCGTAGCAAACGTAGTAAAGAAGCTAACTCTAAAACTTATGTAATATGCAGTTTTGAAAGTGAAAAGCTCATTATAACATGACTTCAGTGTCTAAATAGTACTGATCATTAATGTATCTTCGTTTATTAATCATTGGAAATTAATGTGTTTTGTGTGCAATAGATTTTGCTAGAATGTCTGTCCTTAAAAGGATTGTAGAGCCTTTATTGAAAAAAGAAACACTAAAATTGCATTTTGTCTGATACGTGGAGTGAATACAAAGGTAAAATCAAAAGTTAGCTTTTAAAAGCACTTTCTGTAAGCAAACATCCACAATGCAATATTACTGTAAAGACTGAGCACACTTAAAATATTCTGTCACTCTAATAATGAAATAAATGTATTTTTCCTCATGTTGAAATCATATCTAACATTTTACATTGCTATATTCAACTCCTGTTTTCTCATCATTATTTAGCCGTATTTTGTACCTGCTTGAAGTTCATATTTTACCTCCCAGTTCCTTCAGTGTGCATTGTAATCTGGAGATAATGATCATTGTATATCGAATCACTAGAATGTATAAAATACGTGCATAGTAAGCTAATTTTATCACCATGTATATTAAATGTAATAAGCATAATATATGTTTTGTGTTGTTCAGGATTAATTTGTTCATGATTCTGAATTTCCATGGCATTTTGTTTTTTTCATATTCTTAAGTAATGTTACAGGGTTTGCTTTAGTATATTTTATTCATTAGTACTTGGTAAGTATATATTTTTCAAAATTATTTAAAAATTTCTATTAGGTGTTTTTGCACAGTAAAACTAGATTTATACATTCTTAATTTAGTATAAAGTATAATTTATGCACATGGTAGATGCTTCAGGTTTGCTAAATAAATATGCCTACTTAAAAAAATGTGGATAATGTACTTCATTTTAATGATGGAAAATACCCTATGGCATTTTTATAAGCTGAGCCTCTCTAGAGGATTGCCAGCACTGTTAGTAACACAAGAAATAATTAACATTACGGCACCATTTCTGAACATCTCATGACAGATCATTTATCTCAGTTTGTGGTAAATTATTCTAATCTTTTTATTTTTGGATTTGTAATATGAGTGATTTACCACTGAATATCAGTTATAACTTTCTTCCTTTGTCTTGTTCGTCTTGTTTTTAGCTCCTTGTGAAGGCAATACATTCTTCTGCCATAGTAACATGTGTATTAATAACACTTTGGTCTGCAATGGACTCCAGAACTGTGTGTATCCTTGGGATGAAAATCACTGTAAAGGTAATGATTAGTCCCTGAAATCTGAAAAAATTTCCTCCCTGTGGAGTGGGGTAGAAGTTTATATATATATATCAGTCAGACAGTCTTTAAAATAAGAGTATATAGTGCCTTTTATGAGCACTGCATGTCTTACAGTCGATTTGTAAGCATTTTTCTTACCCTTTACTCATACCGTGTCCAGATGTTTCGTTATTCATTAGCGCACAGTGGACTATCCTTAGCACTTGAATTCTAATTAAAGACATCACCTCATTAGACCCTGCAGAGCTCTGAAAACGGGAGCTTTCAGGGGAGCACACTACTTTCCTATCATGTGTGATACCGTCTGCTTGTGGCCACACCTGTCATTCATTCTAGTTTGTCTTGATTGGACTTTGTGTACGTACTGAAGAGATAAAATATATTGAACTAGCATTTGTACTTTCAGTTACTTCCAGCTACTTCACTTCAGTTTTGCTACGAAAATGCTTTTCTTCCTTTCCCATGAACATAGCTCCCAATGCCCTTGCCTACTTCCCTTGTCTATACACAAAGGATTACGGATGTTGCACATTTTAGTTAAGATGAAACGATGAAACTGCCATATAAAGTGTTTTACTGAGATCCAGTATTAAACAATTGACAAAAGAAGATATGCAAATAACTCTTTCATGCTTGAAGTCCAGTATTATCTACGAAATGCCTTCTGTTCATAGAAGTAAAGAAGTAATACCACAGTATTCATTGCTTCATACAGTCAGTAGGAAAGGCGGTTACACTATCAACACTTTTGCTGTTGATTACTTTCCTGTCTACTTTTGAATGGATTAGAAATTTATTTATTTATTTTTTTGACGGAGTCTGGCTCTGTCACCCAGGCTGGAGTGCAGTGGCGTCATCTGGGCTCACTGCAAGCTCTGCCTCCCGGGTTCATGCCATTCTGCTGCCTCAGCCTCCCGAGTAGCTGGGACTACAGGTGCCCGCCACCATGCCCGGCTAATTTTTTGCATTTTTGGTAGAGACATGGTTTCACCGTGTTAGCCAGGATGGTCTCGATCTCCTGACCTCGTGATCCACCCGCCTCAGCCTCCCAAAGTGTTGGGATTACAGGTGTGAGCCACCGCGCCCGGCCAGAAATTTACTTTCTAAGTGATCTTACTGCAGACCTGTTAATAATTCGTAGTCACCATTGGCTTTGTTTGGCCTATGTAAATGTGGTCCCATGTATGTAAGAAATATTTCACATGAGATGGCAATCAACACATGTGAATGGATGTGCATTATGAAAGTCCATATTTATTTTTTTCAGAAAGAAAAATGATTCGTTTAACCTTTAATTCATTCTCTTGTGATAGGAGAAAAACTTTTTGTAATTGCAGTCATTTCTAATTTATGGAGGTTACGCCGATGGCAAGAATGTTGTGTAGCCTAAAGTTTGTCCCATGTGCCCTTGAAAAGAATATCTATTTGCTGTTGTTGAGTGAAATGTTGTATAGATGCCTGTTATGTCTGGTAGGCTTACAGCATTGTTCAAGTCTTCTGTTTGCCTTTGATTTTCTGCTGTGTTTTGTCCATTATTGTAAGTGGGTGTTAAATTCTTCAGCTATCATAGTTGAATTATCTACTTCTCTCTTCACTTCTGTAAAATTTTCTCTCATGTAATTTGAAGCTTGGTTGCTAACCTCATGTATGTGTGTAATTGTTGTATCTTCCTCATCACCCTTTTATCACTACAAAACAATCTTCTAGAGTTTAGTACAGTTTTTTTGTCTTGAGTTATATTTTGTCTGACATTAGTATAGCCACTACATCTTTCTTATGGTTTGGTTTCCATTCTTCTTTTCCACGTTTTTACTTTCAGTCTGTCTGCATGTTTGAATATAAAGTGTTTCTTTTGTAGACAGTCTATATTTATATCTTATTTTTTATCCAGTCTGAGAATCTTTGCCTTTTCATTGGGTTGTTTAATCCATTCACATTTAGTACTGTCATTGATATAGTTGGACTTCATGTATTCCATTATACTTTTTGTTTCTAAATGTCTCATTTTTTTTCTTTTCCTTCTTTTATTGCTTTCTTCTGCTGCATTAAGTTAGTGTATTCTAGTGCAACATTTTAATTATTTTAGAGTTTTTAATGCATTTTTTTCCTTTCTTAGTTGCTTTAGGACTTAAAACATACAACTTAGCTTCCCAGAATGTATTTTAGATTATACTAAATTATAGTGAGACATAGAAACGTTCTTCCTATATTCTCTCTTCCCTTTTCCAATTATATTTGTACATATTACATTTTTAAACGTTCTAATTATATTTGTACATATTACATTTTAAACATTACAAACCCAACAATACATTGCACTAATTATTACTTTATATAACTGTATGTCTTTTAAAGTGGTTGGGAGAAGAAAGGACAGCAAGTATATTAGTGTAACTTTTTATATAATCCTTCTGATGTATTATTTCTGGTTCTCTTCATTTGTTTTTCTAGATATGCGTTACCCTGCTGTCATTTCCTTACCCAATAACATTTTAGCTCCCACCTTTTTTACACTGTATTGTCACCAAATATATTGCATTTATGTAAGTTATAGTTCAGCATTACGATTATATACATAGAACATTGCTTTTTTAAAAAGTTAAGTGAAGACTGCAGAAGAAATATGCCACTCTACTATCCTTTGCAATTATTTACATAATCACTGTTATAGACCTTATTTACTTACCTGTTTATTATCTGTTCAATTTTTTCGTGTGGATTTGAGTTACTGTCTGAACTCACTTGTTTTCAACATGAACTGTCTTCAATATTTATTTTAAGGAAGCTCTTTTATCATTGAATTATCTTCATTTTTGCCGGTCTTACAATGTCTTTCATTTGTGAAGGTAGGTTTGCTGGATAATGGGTTTTTGGTTGACAGGTTTCTGTTGAGGTTTTGTTGTTGTTGTTGTTTGGTTTTTGTTTTGTGTTGCTGTTGCTTGCAGCACTGCATGTGTCATCATGTTGCCTTCTGGCCTCCACTGATGATGACTCAGCTGTTAATTTGATGGAGGCTCCTTTCTGTGATGAGGTTTTCTTTCTCTATTGCTTTCAAGATGTTTTATTTTTTTTTTACTGTTTTCATAGTCATATGTCTTTGTGTGGATCTCTGCATTTATCCTATTTGAAGTTTGTTGAACTTGGATGTGGGTTTTCTAATTAAGTTTGGGAAGTTTTAACTCCTCTAGGTTTTTTGTTGTTGTTCTTTTTCCTGTTACTTTCCATCTCTCCTTTGTTTCTTATACACCCATTACATTACGTTAGTGTGCTTGTTGATTTGCCACACTTTTTTTTTTCTCCTGAGGCTGTTATTTTTCTGCCTTCTTGTTTTGAAACTCATATTCCTATTGCACTATTCTCATGCCTCTGTCTTTATAAAGTTAGCTGATACTTTCTTTTTCCAGCTGAAATGTACTGTTGAGGCTTCAGGAAATTATCATGTTAGTAATTGCGCTGTTCAATTCCAGACCTTCCCTTTTTGTATGATTTATATGTCTTTATTAATATTCTCTATTTGATGAGCATTGTCCTCATTTTCTTGAGCTTCTTCAATCTTAGTTTGCTTTAGTTCCTCAGATATACTGATTATAGCTGCTTTGAAATCTTTGTCAACTCTGATATCTGGCTCCCCAAAGGGTCCTTTTGTTGCCTGCTTTTTCTTTTTTCCTATATATACGCTTTGCTTTACTGTTTCTTTACATGCCTTACACCATTGTGTTGAAAATCACATGTTAGTAGCATCTCTGAATACTAACTTCTTCCTCCCAGGACTTGTAGTTTTCTTGTTTGTTTCTAAATGGAGACTTGGCCAGACCATTTTAGTGAAGCCTCTGATGCTGCCCCACAGAGGCCACTGCCTTGGGCTTCGCACCAGCAGCCTTGGGCAGCACGGTTTTAGCAGGGCTCTCTGTGCCTCTCTCATTTCCTGTTCTCTCTATTTAGCTATCACCTCTGTTTGTATAGCAGCCAGTTGTTAGTCTCCACCGATTGTCGACTGATTGCTCTACTGCTTTCGACAGTGCCCAAGATCATAAACTGTTCAACAGTCTGGTCAATTAAATTTAATTAATTGCAAAGGTAGTCCTTGAGTCTTGCTTTTGTGAGTTGTTATAACCCAGGAGGACTCTCGTTAGCTGTTACTCTCTTAGCTTGTTCTGTTAAACTTATCGATGTCCCAAGGTTCGTGTTATTGCTCTTAAGACACTAACGGTCTCTTAATTGCATACTGCCTCTTAAGTGCATAAAGCGCCAGATATTCCCAGGTGGTCTCCCATCCAAGTATCAACCAGGCCCTCTTAAAACACTAAGAGGCAGTTAGTGTCTTTAGAGCAATAAGACAAACCTTAGAATGTCTAGAAGCCTGTGCATATCACAAAATCTCCATAGTTTTTGAAATTACCGTTAGGCTTCAGTTTCTCCACACACCATTTCAAATAAACTAACTTTATTTAGGGGAAGCTATAATCCTTTCTGTACTTGTAGCCTTGCTTTCTTTCTGGGCACAACTTCTCCACCAGTGCTCTGGATGGGGGCAGGAACAGTGGCGCAGGTCTCTTTATGCACAGAGTACTTGGGTGAGGTTGCTAACATGTGGTGTTGTCAACTTGCCACTCCAGGCAGCTCTCCTGTGTCAGCAAACTTGGGTAAGCATGATCCAGGCTTGGCATTCTCCACTGGAGACACCTTGTGTTGAGCTCCTGACCTCCAAGTTGAGGCTCAGAGGAGGAACCTCCGGAGCCCCAGACATCTCAGCCACTCAGGCCAGAAAAGAAGCATGTCCAACATGGACCTGGTTGAGAAATGCTGGTAGCTTTCCCCTCCTAAGGAGATGCCATAACTCACTTAACTGGGAGCTGCAGGGAGAGGGTGCCCTGCGTTCTTTTCCACACCTCCCTGAGGAGGGCTCCCATCATGGTGAATCAAGAGTGAAGGAAGCAAGTCATGGCTCAAATGCCACAGACTCTCACTGTTCCTAAGGACATTTAGTAGACTGGTTTATATAAATACCTCTCCACTTGATGTACACTGTTAGGACAATTTCTGGAGTTTCATTAAACCAGGCTTTGATTGGTTGAGTTTTTAAAATAATTTTCTAACAGTTGTGATTATTTCGTTTGGGAAAGAGTCCATGCCATCATTCCATGAGTGTGTGTCTTCGGATTGAATTGAATTTTTCTGTGGTATCAGAATATTATTGTTACTTTATAGATAGGGGGGTGTGTGTGTGTGTGTGTGTGTGTGTGTGTGTGTGTTTTAAGCTGCGATGCTGGACAATGGGGAGGAGGGCTATTTTTAAGACTGGTCAGTGTGTTTTTTGTGAAAAATGAGACCTTGTATTTATTTTTAAATACTTTCCTAAGCTACGATAGATAGAGAGAGAGAGTAGTAGAGGATAGAGAGAGTGTGTGTTTGTGTTAGTGTCTGTGTATGTGTTTGTATTAGTGTCTGTGTGTGTGTATTTTAAGCTGAGATGCTGGGCAATGGGGAGGGAGGGCCATTTTTAAGGCTGCTCAGTAGTTTTCTTGTGAAAAACGAGACCTTGTATTTATTTTTAAATATTTTCCTAAGCTACGATAGATAGATAGATAGATAGATAGATAGATAGATAGATAGATAGATAGTAGAGGATAGAGAGAGAGTGTGTGTGTTTGTGTTAGTGTCTGTGTGTGTGTTTGTATTAGTGTCTGTGTGTGTGTATTTTAAGCTGAGACGCTGGGCAATGGGGAGGGAGGGCTATTTTTAAGGCTGCTCAGTGGTTTTCTTGTGAAAAACGAGACCTTGTATTTATTTTTAAATATTTTCTTAAGCTACTACAAGCCTGTCAAAATTCTGTGCTCAGCCTGCTTTATTTAAGTTTTAATGCACATTTTGACTATAATATTAATTTTTGCCGTGTTGCTTCTCGTTTTGTCCGTTTGTTGTTTTCACTCTCTCCAACCCGTAGAGAAGAGGAAGACCAGCCTGCTGGACCAGCTGACCAACACCAGTGGGACTGTCATTGGCGTGACTTCCTGCATCGTGATCATCCTCATTATCATCTCTGTCATCGTACAGATCAAACAGCCTCGTAAAAAGTATGTCCAAAGGAAATCAGACTTTGACCAGACAGTTTTCCAGGAGGTATTTGAACCTCCTCATTATGAGTTATGCACTCTCAGAGGGACAGGAGCTACAGCTGACTTTGCAGATGTGGCAGATGACTTTGAAAATTACCATAAACTGCGGAGGTCATCTTCCAAATGCATTCATGACCATCACTGTGGATCACAGCTGTCCAGCACTAAAGGCAGCCGCAGTAACCTCAGCACAAGAGATGCTTCTATCTTGACAGAGATGCCCACGCAGCCAGGAAAACCCCTCATCCCACCCATGAACAGAAGAAATATCCTTGTCATGAAACACAACTACTCGCAAGATGCTGCAGATGCCTGTGACATAGACGAAATCGAAGAGGTGCCGACCACCAGTCACAGGCTGTCCAGACACGATAAAGCCGTCCAGCGGTCAGTATCAATAGATTTTTTGATGACAACTATAACCTGAGGACTGAAATACTTCCAGAGTATTGTCTTCTATTTTGTCTTCATATTTCAGTTCCCCTTTAATTAATGATTTAAACCCTAGTTTTCCAATAGTTCCCCTCTTCTTTTTCCTTTTCACTGCTATCCGTATTCCTCCTAAACCTCATACATGTGCAGGATATGTATATGTGTGTGAACACACATGCACACAGAGACCAAAGATACGTTATTTATTTCTAAACATATACACATATTTATTTTATAAAATTATGGCTTTTAATATATAATAGATTTATAATGCAAACTTGCTTCCATGTGACCATTGCTCCCATCAGTATTTATATATTTTGATACGAAATGATATTTGAAAACGATTGCCTTACCAAGATGGCTCACCCATCTTGATGAACAATTTTAATCCTGAAGTAACATATTTTTCAATATAATGTATTTATTTTTGGTAGGAACACAAAAATACTTGTCTTTCACATATTACATAATGTTTATATTAGAAATTGCATAGGATAGTGCAGTGTATTCATCATTTACACTTAAATGTTGTTAGAAACAGTAGAAACATTTGATTTATTTTCCTTTAACTATAAATACAATATTATCTGTGTTGTATTATTAGCCTTAAAATGAGTAAAATTTTTTAGAAAAATACTTAAATTTAGGAAAAATTATTTTAAATTCTGAAATCTTGTCAACTTATACTTCGTTTTGCATGTTTACTAGCATTCCATTTATTTTATACATTGTGACATACTTTCTCCATTCATGATACAGTCTCAAAACCTAAAATACTTTAGTTGGTTTGATATGTTTTGCATGCTGACATAAGTCTATTTCCACAGTTTTCTGAATTTTAAAAATGCTTTTGAGTAAATATTTGTATACATATATTTTTTGTGCAAATAGTACTTTGTTGAATGAAATAGCCGTAACATTCCAGGTTCTGCCTCATTGGGTCTCTAAGCAAACATGAATCTGAATACAACACAACTAGGGTCTAAAAAGAAAATTCAAGGTAAGCAGATGCCCTTGGTTCCTTTTCCTACTTTGTCGTATTCTGTTTTGTTGCAACTGTCTTGTAGTTTTTTAGGGAATGTGCTATTTATCCATTATTTCTTGAGATATGTGTTTCATGACATTTCATGATTAGAAATACAATGGGTTCAGTGTTTATAGGAGAGATGATTCTCAGGATACGTCCCTTTAAAACAAATCTTAGTATTCTTACCATCAAGAATTGTACTAAAATGTAATTTAGAAGGACATCAAATTAATCATCTCAATTTTACATGTTTTAAGGTACAGATAATAAAATTAATGAACTTTCTCCAAAGAAATACTAGAAAAAACCCAAGGTTTTCAAACTAAGAAAATAGAATATTCAGTCTCAGTGTAGCTGAAGTTAATATTTAAAACTGGTAACTACTTTATGTAATTTGGCAACATTCTACTCAAAATTCATACACTAAATATTTTTGGTACTTACACAATTTATAAACTCTTATTTTTGCATGAATATGTAGCTCATCTCATCAAAATTAGATGTAGCATGCCGTGTCAAATTTTATACTATAAAATTTGAATGCAAAAGGTTTCATTAATCCCAGTTGTCCTTGTGTACATCGATTTTGTCATCGGGTATCACAATGGCTTTAGTTTTTGCTCTTGATTGTCTATATCTATATTAGCCTAATTTGTCTCCAGTTGAATTTGCTTGACAGCTAATCTCTTCTAAACTTCTCAAGCCTATCAACTATTCTTGAACTAGGTGAATGCATTAATAAATTGGTGTATTTGTATGCATTTTTCATTGGGAGAAAATGTTTTAACTGTTTTTTATTTTCAGAGAAGAACTATTTATACAAACATGGGGACTGAAAAGAAAATTCTGTAGTGAATTGTGAAAAGTGGACATATTTCTAAATTCATTCCACTGCCTTTATCCAAACTTAAGAATTACAGACATTTGTTATTCCTTCGGCAAGACATCCCCGCTGCACAATGATATGTTCATTTCGTAATTTGGTTGCTGGCCACCAAGTGCTCCTTAGTTTTTAAATACATTTTGAGATTAACTGGAAACTTGAAGAAGAAATTAGTTCCCGATTAAGACTATCCCAACTTTATTTTTATTGTCAGTTTCACTTTTGTTTCTATGTTGTTTTATGTCTTTGTTATATAATTGTACATTGTGTGATATGTGAAAAAAACACGAATTCAGATGAACTTTGTGTTACATGTACATTGTTTTCATTATATAGACTGCTTGAGAATAGTGCGTTCCTGAATGATTTTGAACATGCTACAGTGAAAAGTGACAGTGTGGACCATGGAATCACCAGCTAGAGGTTATGGACTATACACACCTATTATTATGTTCTGATTAAATAACAGGAAAAAGTAACAAGTAAAATTACTAGATTGCAATAAAAAATTTCATTTTTTGGTCTTTCCTATATACCCCTGATTTCCTTTTTGTTTTATATCAAAGAAAGTACTGAGTTTCAGAAATCCTTTTTGAAGTCAGGTATTTTACCATTCATACTCTACAGTAGAAATGTTTTTGATTAAGCACTCAGCAATATGACCAAATTGCCAGTTTGAGAAAATACCCTGCATGTCAGTCCTGGATATTTGAGTTGGGAAAATATCCTTTTTGTTAGACACATTGTAAAAAGCATGCATTGTCAAAGACTGTTGTTACTCTTCCATTTCTTTATGTCATATGCTTGCTACTTATGACTTTTTATATAAATATATATAAAATGTATAATAATTTCCTAATTTGAGTTAAGAGAAATGTTTTCTTCCATTAGAGTGATTAAAAAACTGACTTACATAAATACACATTTTATATCAACTCTTTCCACCTTTTAGCATACAGGATGTCCTTCAGTATTGAGGTTTACTTCCCAAAATATTTGGCTTCTGGAAGTTTAGGGGAATATTTTCTTCTTTTAGAATAGGGAACTCTTTTTTAAACTGCTTTAAAATCACAAGCCCTTTTATTAACTAAACTACACCATTATGAATTATTCTTATTCTCAGGCACACATAATACACCTGAAAGCTCAGTGATTATGATGTGTTTAACATAAAGTAAAATCCCAAAATATATTTTATTGTTATTAAGTTATATACATACTCTGTAAAGTTTGATTTGGTGAGTGGCTTTTTTTAAAATATTCAGTGTGTAATCTGACAAAATAAATTTTTAAAATAAGAGTTACTATCAGTATATATGCTTCCCAACATTTTCAAAACTACTGAATTCTCCAGGTTGAAAACACTGTCCTTCCACTAGCAGAGCAGTCTGGCCTAGTAAAATTTGGACTTTGCAATTCAAGCAGGCTTTGCAAACTAAATAGATGAATTACTGTTATACTTCCCTACTAGGAATTCAATGTCATATATGTTAAAAAATAAATAGAAAATAAAATAAAATTTTATAATAGAAAAGTCAGAGAGTTATCATAGCCATTATAAAAACTCTATCTTGAAAAGATGTCAAGCTACAGAATCACTTCAATGAATTTGATAAACTAGGGAATACAGAAAAGGTATTGAACATGACAAATAAAGATTATTTTCCATTGTTATGCTACATAGTTTTGTACACATTGCTTATGATAAAATGTACCGTTTTTATTTGGCTTGACTGGTTTATTTTTTACCATGGTTCCTTTTTTGCCCTTTAATTCAAAGTTAATACACCAAAGATTTTTTTAAAGAATTAATCATATTTTCTATTGTTTTCTCTATTTAAAAATCTTCAGAGGACTCCTTTCCCTTTGAATGATAATATCAAAAGTATGATATAACTGTCAAGATGTTTTTATTTGTAACAGCAACAAAAATAGTGAAATAGGTGAACACTTTACTATTAATTTGTTCTGTAACTGTCCGGAATGTCCGTCCCCTCCATTTTCTCCTAAATATACAGAATGCTGATTCCCTGATTAAAAGGTATTTTCACCAGAAATCCACTCGTGGAGACTTAAAAAAAAAAAAAACACGAAATGAAGTATAATAATAAGAATGGATAGCTCACATATATTTAACACACAGCAGCTTCATGGGAAAACAAATATATTTTAAATGAAGAACAGGCCTCCTCAGTGATAACTCTAAAATTTCTCAACAACGTACAGACACAGACTAATCATAAAAGAAGACAATGACGATGCCTGGGCAGTGTCTGGAGGTCTCCTTTTCTACTGGCATTCACTCTAGATGCTGAAACTTGGGAGTGCAGGGCTCCGGCAGAGCTAGGAGATGTTCTCTGGAGGGCTCTGGTGGTGCTTATTGATCAGTCAGTATGGAGATTTGTCAATATATTAAAAACTATTTAGTAGCTATGTCAGATCTTATCACCTGAATGCAACCTTTGGCCCACATTCTAAAGGTGGTGACACACATAGATAAGGAATGAGATGTTTCAAGACTTTTAAGTCATGTTATTTTAATAAATGATTATATTTTTTGATAAAGTGAATTCAAATATTACCAACCCAAGTGCTTTACTGATTTAAGAAGATGATTTCAAATAATGTATTAAGTTAGCCTCTGTGTTAATTTGATAAAGCTATTGTTTTTCATTTTATTTTTTCAAGTTTTAATTCACTTTTCAAAACCATGGCCGCATATAATCACATGCAATGCGATGAAGCCCCATATTAATTTTCGAACTTCTGTCCAAATGTATTGCAGTTCCCTAATTTCAAGGTTCTAATTGGGAAATATGATTTCTTTTGTATCTGTTTTTATATACATATCAATTTTAAGCATTAGCTTGCAAAATAGACATATGTTGTGTTTGATTTGCCATAACGAACTCGAATTTGATTTTGTAACTAAAATGTGGCTATCCACATAATTGGCGATCAGTGTCTTTGGGCATTTAATGGAGAACAAATCACATTGTGGTGATGCTGGTTTTTCTTTTTCACATTTACTTTTGCTCTAGAAGTATTTCCATGAGTCTGATGACTCCATCAGTTATGATCCTCAGCGTTTAGTAACTTAGACCGTTGGCATAACTTTAATATTCACTTAAGCTTCTGTATCATTGTTTTTCTGTATTTTTCCCTTAGGAATTTAATTCGGGTCTCAAATTTTATAGCTTTAAAAAAAATTCCGTGAATGGGTTTTCCTCAGCCTCAGAATATCATGATAAATTACAACGGCCGGGCGTGGTGGCTCACTCCTGTAATCCCACGACTTTGGGAGGCCGAGGCAGGCGGATCACGAGGTCAGGAGATCCAGGAGAGCGAGACCATCCTGGCTAACATGGTGAAACCCCGTCTCTGCTAAAAAATACAAAAAATTATCCGAGCGTGGTGGGGGGCACCTGTAGTCCCAGGTACTCGGGAGGCTGAGGCAGGAGAATGGCGTGAACCCGGGAGGCAGAGCTTGCAGTGAGCCGATTTCGTGCCACTGCACTCCAGCCTGGGCGACAGAAGGAGACTCCGTCTCAAAAAAACGTAACAACCAAATAAAAATTAAATAAATAAATAAATTACAAGATATGACCCTGGTTCCTATTACCTTGATTAAAGTGATGGCAATTAATTTACTGATGTTTTGTCAGTGAAATAAATAATAACATCTCATGAAATTTGTGTGTCTCTGTGATGAAAATGAGTCATGTCACATTCCCTCTGAAGGGAAGTTAAATAAACAACATTTTTAAAATTCTCTGAATCTATACAAATATGCTTTGAAAAGTGAGTTAGGGCTTTGTCTAATTGCATTAGGCGAGTTAGCTTCGGTGCCATTTTTCTTTGTGCACTTTTTCCTCCATGGATTCGTTTCTATCTATCGCAGTCTAGCACAAATGACCCAGCCGAGAAATCGTAAAATAGATTCACCAACAAAAGAAACAGGTCTTGAGTTAATTATCAATCTCTATGCATTTAATTAATATTTCCCAAGCCCATCTTAAGGGTGTAATAAAGTAGAAAAATAAAAATATATCGTTAAAATAGCCAGAAATGTTTTTATAAATAATCCTGTTAAATAAATCTGAGGCCCTTTGTTAATTTACAATTATCATGATTCATTTTATTAATAAACTTGTTTGAATTGTACTGCAAATTTATCTAACTGAATTGTATCATCAAAATAAATCAAACAGGGTAATAAAAATAACAATTATAGGTGAGTGATGTCAGACACTCATAAAAACTCATCATTTTCTTATAGCTTCTGGTTCTGTACTTTCTTGTGTATTATTAAAGAGGTAAATGCTCTCTTCACATGCCTCTAGTTCCTCAGAGGTAGGAAAAATAAACTCCACCTGCTTTGGACTTGTGTATTGGCTTGGGTTGGTTTTCAGAATGTCCTTATTCCTGAAACAGTGTGATCATGTAGTAAAACTACTCCTTTATATCTATAACTCCTGTGCAGCCCACATGTTCTTTTTTGTCCCCACCTTCTGCCATCTTTCCAACCTCTGAGGCATGCTATTTTATAGTGGTTTGCTCTTCGAAAAATTGTTTTTGTGCCCTCTTAATAGTCACAGATACTGACACAAAACTTAAAAATGACCAGAAAACATAATGTATACATTATTTAAAATAAAACATTCTTTTTATATCACATTATCAAATTTGTACTCTTTATTCAGTTTCCCACTAAGTGCGATACCAGTAGAGCCAGGCTGTTTGGAGCTTGCACAGTCTGTCTACCAAGCTTCTTCCTAAGTACTTCGAGGGTAAAATGAAGAAGGCAGTCTAGGAAGGGACACAATTACAGAGCCTTGTAGAAGGCAGGCTGCTCACAGGAGCTGTATAAGGAAAATTAAGGCCAACATTATGTGCTGTGTTGGCCATCTTGGAAAGCTGATTGCATAACCCTGGTTACCTCTTCCATCATCTTCCGTGGAAGATAAAAATTCAAATGTTAATCCAATAGACATGCTATTTTATCATGAAGAAGCTTGTAGCAAAAACCTGAGAATATAGGTATCTTCTTAAGAAGATCAAGAGAGGCTTTGTGAATAGCTGACCTTCTAAGCAGGTCTCGAGGGATAGAGACAATGGTCAAATAGTAGTGCAGGGAGAAATTTCCACCTAGAGTAATTTCAGCAGATGTAGCGTCAGAAGATCATTTAATTGAGCTGGTTGGAGCATAGACAGTAGGAGTAATACTAAGTATATTTGACAGAGTAGGTTTGAGTTTGCCTCATGATTTCTGAGTGCATGGAATACTATCCAAAGGAATTTACATTTTATTCAAGGGAGAATATTTTAAGATCTCAGCAGAGTGGGACTTAAGATTTCTACTTTCAGTAGAAGCCTCTGACAGGGGTATGTTTGCTGAATTGAATGGGCGTGAAATGCAGTAGAGTCAAAACTGTAGAAACAAGACGAGAAAGAGTAACTGGCAGATTGCTAGATATCCAGGAATATTTTTGTCTGGTTTTTTACTTCTATATTGTTTCAAGGTTGTGGTTGACTAGCGAACATACTGAGTGTCACATGACAAAACACCATTTTGAGTGTTTTACATGTATTTTTTTTCCTTGGTCATCTTAGCAATTCTATGACTAATTAATAATAATAATATTTGTTATTTATTGTACAGATGAGGAAACTGAAGAGAGTTTTAGTAACTTTTTAAGATTACACAATAAACAATGATGAATCAAGCTTTGAAGTCAACTTCACCAACCACAAGATCAACCAACATTCTTCACCAATGTGTAATATAACCACGTTAATATTCAACATAGTACGTACTGCTGAAGGAAGTTGATACTTATTCATATTAACCCCATAGTTTTGTGTTTCCTCATCTGTAAACGTATGTATTATAACACCTTCTCTCCACCTTACAGCGTGTGAGGATCAAATGACCATTCATTGGAAGATATTTTTTATATCCTATAATGCATTATAAAAATAAATCATTTTTCCTAAATCTTGTGTAAACTTCATTTTATGATCGACATGGAACAAAAGTATCATCTATAAAGAGCAGCAATGTAGAGTAACCTCCCTCTGAACTTGTGCACAGTAAAAATGACTTTCCCAACCCAGTGACTCTGTCTGGATGATATTTCCTCCAGTGCTATTTTGTTGCATCATCGTATCAAAGTGCTATTGTTCATTATCTGTCATTCAACATTGAATGCCAGAGGTCCTAAGTAACCCCCAAAGCACTCATCATGAAGTATACATAGAAATAGCAACACTGGAAAGCAAATGTTGTATTTCAGTCACAGATAATTGTTTGGCTTAAATTCATGTAATAGCATCCTGGTGGATAAGCAAGGAAGCAGACAGTTGTATAGGTAAATGCAGTTTCATAAGCAACGTTACAATATAAAAAAGTGGTATACTGCAGTGAAAATCAAATTTAGTTTTATTTCATACTATTTATGTGCTCTTTAAAAATCTATTTGAATCCTCTGAGTTTCACTTTCTTCTTTCTTTTCTTCTTTCTTTCTCTTTCTTCTTCTTTCTTTCTTTTTTTTTCCTCTTTCATTTTTGAGACAGCATCTCACTGTGACGCCCAGGCTGGAGTACAGTGGTAATATCTCGGCTCACTGCAACCTCTGCCTCCTAGGCTCAAGCGATTCTCATGCCTCAGCCTCCCAAGTAGCTGGGATTACAAGTCTGCACCACCACCCCTGGCTAATTTTTGTATTTTTAGTAGAGATGGGATTTTGCCATGTTGCCCAACTCCTAGCCTCAAGTGATTTGCCCACCTCAGCCTCCCAAAATGTCGGGATTACAGGCATGAGCCATGGTGTCTGGCCCTCACCTTCTTCACTTGTAAAATTGAGAAGGCTACACCTAGTGAAGAAGGTTTCTGTTAACATTAGAACTGGGCCAGACATCGTGGCTCACACTTGTAATCCCAGCATGTTGGGAGGCTGAGGCTGGTGGATCATCTGAGATGAGGAGTTCAAGACCAGCCTGGCCAACATAGTGAAACCCCATCACTACCAAAAATACACACAAAAAATTAGCTGGGCATGGTGGCAGGTGCCTGTAATCCCAGCTAC